TCACGAGATAATTACTTCTATACTATACGTAGATTAAAATTGTCCTTGATTTTTTTCTCTGATGAATAGAACAGTTTAAATCGTGGCAGCTGTTGCGGGTTACTGTACGGAGTTCAGGAGGGGACTTAGGCTGCTAGCTGAACCAAGAGTTGGTATACAGGGTGTGTATACACTGTATAACAGGTAGAAAGTGTGGGTGAACTAAGGGCTTTATACCTGAACATGAACAAAACCATGGGCCTGAAGGACGGAGCATGAAATGTACTTATGGGTGAGAGGGTGGCCTCCCAAAGACGGTTCAATCCATATTGTTGAGCCTATTGGGTGCTGCCCACGGACTCAGCATCGATGACTGCTTCAGATACTGTTTCTTATTTCGGTCACAATGTATTCTAGAGGAGGTCAACAATTGCCAAGTTTTTTTTATGGTTCTTTTCTTTGACCGTATACACGTGGGCCATCAGTTGCATACGCTTCCAATGTTAAGAAAGCGTAGGCCAACATCAGGTAGCTAAGCTCCGCCTTCGGGACCTACACGTGACCAAACAGCAGCAATTTTAAGCCACTGAATTTAAATTTTACATAGTATATGTGACTGCTTTATACGTTAGTTCTCAAAAATTTTAGGTCCCGAGCATGGTGGCGCTACCATGATATTGACTATGTTTTTTATAGAACCAGTGGTCCATGTGTAAATAGGCAAAAGTTCTTTCGCGAACCCTGGATTATATGTACAGTCAACCACGTGTAGTCAACTGTATATAGAGCACCCAGTGATCTATACTATGGATAGAGGATAGCATGTTTTCTTAAGCGAAAAATTGTTGAAGTTGAAATGATTGCCAGAGCTACTATACCAGAGGACAGGTACTAAGGCTCGAATTTATAGTCGCTTCTCGCACTTGACACTCAACACTCAAGTGCGTCCCACCAATGTTCACATTGTTATGTTCAAAAAGAAGTGAGAGAAGCGGAATAGCTGCGCAATAGTTTTTCTCCTTTTCCGCTTCTTTCACTTCTTTTTCAAGCATGAAGTATAAAACTTGTAGAATCTGAACATAACACAAATGTGTACATTGAACGCGGAACAGTTGGACGCACTTGAGTGCTGAGTGCCAAGTGCGAGAATCGACTATAAATTCGGGTCTAAAAAGCGCGTAAAAGCGTAGTCGCAGATCATGGGCGCATGCGCTTCAGTTGCTGGTCATGATTTAGCGCGAAAATATATTTTCAACTGGTTGAAATGTGCATGTGTTCATAGTCTGCGATTGCGCTTTTACGCGTTGTTTAATTTCCTGTCCTCCACTGTGGTAGCCCTGGCAATCACTTCAACTTGAAGAACGTTCTTAACTATATCTTCTATCTATATAAATCACTGAGGGCACCACTCTGTGGGCTCAACATAGCGGCTTGGGGTTGTTTTCCCCTTCCAGTTTTGAAAGTCCTGCCCCTTTACTATGCACTGTCTTCTAAGGACAAAACAGGGTTTGCCAGTCTTCAGGAACCACAGAGCGAAAAGGTTTGTGGACGAGTTGAATTTAGGTATCCTCACGTGCTACTGTGATAGAGAGTTCGCAGATGATCTAGTGTCTAGTGTCCTTAGAAACTGCACGACCTGAACGAACCAGGGTAGATCAATCTCCGAAAGCTATTAGCTTGCTTGGATTCTACAGGATGCCGTTTATATGCGTCGGGTGCATTGTAGGTACCCTAGTTTTATAGTTAATTGAATTCAGAATTTAAATAAAGGTGATTGTTTTTATAGAACGTGACTAGCATTGAACGTTTTGGGAGTGTCCTAGTCTAGGAGGTAGTGACAGAAATGTCGGGAGTTTTTCCGCAAGCTTCATCTTTCTGCATGAGTCATCCGTGTAGTATATAATGTGAGAATCATGCAGTAATATAAATAATTGAACAACAAAATAAATGTAACTGTTAGATCTGCGAAGAAGGGACAAAGGCGACCTTTTTACAATAAAGATAGTATAACCGTTTTTTAATTTCGGATTCGTTTATGGTCATCCGTAGCCCAGGGTGTGCATAATTTTTCCCTCACGGCTCACTTCCCCTCTTTTTCGCCCGTATTTCGAGCCCCACTACTATTCCCCTCATGCGCCTTCGCTGACCATGCCTAGCATACCCCCATCAAGTACAGACCCCTCCATGGTCGCATCGTCCCCACTTTCCGGCCGAGGGAAAAATTATGCGATCCCTGCGTAGCAGCAGTAAAGTCCAAGGCGCCTTAACCGCAGACAAACATTGTCATTATTATTTATATCTGCCTGTCAGAAAACGCTAACCAGGGTTAGAAATTTCCCATTTCTTGCCTTCTTACTCAGTCCAAGGCCCTGTTTGGGTTTATTACGGTTACTGACCGTACATACCTCAAAGGTGTCTCTGATACCTGGTGGTAACCGTTTAAGACCACAACTACCTCCCTTACAATTTGTTCCAAGCCAAAAGGATGTACAACCCAAAGGATTGTAAACCAAAAAGATGTACTTCCTCACCCCATTTTTACAAATTATATCCCCCACGCCGAATTCCTCGCCGAACGAAACAAGAGCCGAGGACTCACTTGATTTTTAGCCTCCGAATAGCGTAGACTAACAGTTAATCTCGTTTGTACATGCTTATTCACTTAGAATAAATTAAGACATGATTAGAAACACACATTAGTGTTATACTTTATTGATATACAGTCCACTTCCAACATGAGGACTTCTGATGAACGAAGTCCCCCGCGTCGTTTAATTGCCGCTAAAGTTGTCGACGTTGCAACGCACAAACAGTAATATATTACAGCTTTTCAGATACATGAATTTCATAACGTCTCTTACGTTTCTTTAGTCATACTCACTTTCTTTTTAAGATGAAGCGCCGCTGGATTATAGTAATCACTTCCCGAAAAATCGTTATCAAAAGCATCAGTGAAAGCATGCATGTTCGATTAAATCAGGAAATACGATCTTTCGTTTTATGTAACGGCACATCGTGTGATTGAAGTTAACATTTATTTTCTATAGAGCGAAATACGTACATTGTTAGTAATAATGTGTAATGATACTTGGCATGTGAAAGTAGGAGTAGTTAAAGCTGGACGTCATCTTGCACAATTGTAGCAAGCAATTAAGGCCTATTTTCTGTACATCGTTTTCAATTCTTATGTTTAAAAAACATCAATCATTTATGATTTGTTTATTAATTATAGTATATTTGTATGCAAACGAAAAATCATTCGACAATTAGAGAATATCTGATCAGGGCTATCATACATATTATGTTACGAGATCACACATAGTCGCAGAATGCATACAAAAGCTGCATTAGGGGCCGTAATCATACAAATTTCTATTGATGTAACATAAATGCATTCTCTACTTCCACATTATGAGTATATTTTTCTTTTCTTAAAATTGCATTTCGATTTGATACAAATATCAAGTGTATAAAAGAAATTTCAATTTTGATAAACTTCGCAGACTATTCGTAATTTAACTTTCGATAAGTTTCTTTCCTTATCTTGGCACGTGCAAGAATTTCATGAAATTCGAAGCACATGTTCACGCTGTATAATCAATGGCGCACGAAATAAGAAAACGGCGTATCATCAAGCTTTATCGTAAAGTAGTTATATGCACACGTCCACATTCAAAGACACTGATATAAAAATGTACTAAATAATCTCCATTATTGGTACATTTATAGATCAATTTTTCTATCAAGATTTATTAAAATAGCACCCTATAATATCTGACATAATAAGAAACGGAAATTTTTTCATTGTTCCTATCAAATTCATTAGCGGGTCAGTTGCTTATAATTTATTTTGTTTGTTTACAGCACAAGATAACCAAGAATCCTACAATACAATTCCAAGGAAACGAAGGGGTAAGTGACATCATTTTCTATTATTTAACTTTCTATGTTGAATCAGAGTAATCGATATCCCGCATAATTATTATACGTGTTTAAGACGTTGAATGCCACGCCAATTTTATAGGGATTGTCCGTGGCGCCACGATGAATTTTCTATTATGCGATACATATAATGTTGAAATATTACCTGCAATAGATAAGTTACAGTGTACAACAATGTTTGACATGTTAATTAGTCACCGGTGACCCCCGTGGCATTCAATGTGTTAAAGTATGACGATAATATCAATTCACAATAGTTAGCTCAATTTTTTTTAAATACTGATAAAAAATTAAATCCGCAAAGCGTTTAAGTTATGTTCCCGAGAAAAGCTACGACATTCAAAAGATCTATCAAGTCCGTGACAACGAGATTAAAAAATCGAGCTGAAGTAGTCGTCAACGGCGTAACACGTGGAGACTTCTTGTGCCGTCGTTTCCACATGTTTTCCGCGAATCATCATCGTCAAGCGTTGACTTTTTCTAAGAAATTGTCCACCTCCACTCGTTGCGGGGATTCACTCGCAGTCGCAAAAACTGAAGTCCATCGCATATAAGAGTATTATCGTTACCGTGCTGTCGGGGTATATGAAGGGGGGTTAATTATACTACTTGAGCACGTATTAACATCATATAATTTAAATCTGATGTTTTAAAATCGATCATCAGAACATTCTGAGGAAATTTAACAAGCCTCATAAAGAGTTGAAATAGCTTTCTCAACTTTCGTAACAGAAACGAATTAGGGACGATTTTCGGAAGGAGGAGAGATGTTATCGGACATGATAACGATCTTCTCGCGTTACAGGAGTGCGTGCGCAATACGTAAATTTGATCGCGTCGGAATCGGAGGATATACGCGTGTCTGATAGGCACAGCCGGAGGTTTCTATACGACGGTGAAGGCGATCGAGGCCGTTCGAGCAAGGTTGTACACCATTTTCTCCCATGACGTTCGTTGATTTGCTCGTACACGCGTTCATTGGTCGGTTCTCGGATTGCCGCAAAACGCGTCAAACGAGACGGCTGATTTCTTCGGGTCCTTGGATTCTCGCAGACGATTTTTCCGAAGGTTAATAAATATCGAGTTTCCAGCTCAGGAATCGTATGCGAGTAGTAATAAGTGATCTTGAAACTAATTATTTCACTTCTTTCTTAATTAATCCTTTACGGTTTCCTACTTTATGTTTTTAAATCAACGGCTTTGCCTCATGTATATAGTAGGAATCTGTCGATAATCATTTAGTTTTTATCTATAAGGGTTGATTTCCTTAACACAATACCAGCTCTTTTATTTATTTTAGCATTTACCTACTTTCGAGTGAAGTTACTGCAGTCAAATAGATCTTACAATAATTTCATCAAGCGATTTGATATCATATTGTGAATCGTTAACAGCTTCGGATTCTGATTATTTATGCAGAGTCAAAAAAGTGGCCTTGCCGCCGCCCGTCTACTCGTAAAAGCCACAGCACGCCCCTACGCCACGTCGTCGTCGTATCCTTTCCCAAGCCCAGCTCCACGCTCTTTTAATCACAGACTTCGAAATCGGTTCTCCTTGTGAAAGGAAACAGAGGTGATCGACCTGTGATCTCGTCTTCGATTGGACCCGCTCGATTTTTCGGGCGTGGCTCTACCATGGAGTCGATCATGCCTCGTAACGCTGTTTCGAACAGAGAACAAGTGAGAAAAATCATGCCGGTGGAATGAGAAAGTCTTTCTCAACCACGTTGATTTATGATAGATTTTATCAGATTCATTTCGTGAATAAAAAATTAAATGTAGTTATATTTTACACAATTGGAGTTAATTATGTTTGTATATTCTTCTTAATTTCATTTATTGTGAGTTTGTTACAAAGTTACGATGTACATGTATGTAATTTTTTATACAATTAAGAATGACCAAGTCGAAAGAAAGTGCTCCTTGCAAGATTCGCGATGAAACAATGATGATCACCTGTTGCAATGTAAGAGGCGAAAACCGTGCATCTCTTTATGTGTGAAAAATAGACAAAAGTGGTCGGCAGCCTTGCTTTATTAAGGCTTCATTCATATAACCGATTCTGTTTAGCCGCATTTACTTCGGTTGCTTTATTTTGACCTTTGACTGGCTTCCAAGAGCTCTGGGCGATCCCCGAAGATCGATGATGTCACCTGACCTTTTCGCGAGACTGCTGCTACGACCAGATACGCGCCACATGGGGTCATTCTATCTAGCCTCGAGCCCCCTGGAAAATGATTTATAAAGGACGTTTCGACCTATGCTAATTTGCACTATACCTAACGTAAAGTCCTTCAAGATATACTACTTAGAAAGTAACAATGATCCTTGTTCGGCATTAAAACTAATCACGTTAAAAGTATTTTTATCAGTCATGCGCATTTCGATAGAATCCATTCCTTAAATCTTATTCTTCTGTCTTATTTCCTGTATAAAAAATAAATGAGAGATTTAGATCTTTTCTGAGGTATTAAAAACTTGAGATGTTGTTGAGATGATGAATATTGCACCAATTTAGTCAAATAATCATACGTAATTTTGAACTAGAGGTCATTTAAGTAGTACAGGCCATTTTACTTTTTTCATAATTTTGTAATAACAAACTAATGATTTCCTACGTACGTTTCTTCACATACACGGGACATCAAGTGTTAGCAATATTCAATTAATGTTCAGTGTGTTGTAATAGTATATTGAGATAAACTCACTATTAATATTATTGCACCACTTACTGTTACTAGCAAGAAAAATACGAAACAGTCATTAGAACGGCATTATACGAACAGACTTGCCTACTGCAGTATTCAGACCATCTCATTGCGTTTCGAGACAGGTTTTGCACGGTTATCAACTCGGTTCGAAACAAACCAGCTAGGGATACGATTTAACAATCAACAAACCCGTAGGATATCTGCCGTTATTATATGGTCGAAGGGATTTCCAGTTTCAAGGCTTCTCTCTCATTCTCACTCTCTCTCTCTCTCTCTCTCTCTCTCACACACACACACACACACTCGATCTCTGTCTATCTGTCTACCTCCAACCTTTTACAAGCAGGAAACTGGTGAACGCGACCACTCCCCTCGCATCTAGGTATGTTTCCGAGCATCAAGAGAGAAACTTCCTGTTAAAACCACCCTCTTCTGCTTCTCCCTTTAACGCTTCGTCGAGCTTAATCCGTTGTCACCACGAATCAACTGGAGCGCCTCGCGGATTAACGAGTTTCTGTATTTTCTCGATCCGCAACAACACCCGTGTCGCGCATCCCCTCCTCTGCTTTCTATCGTTCTCCATGTCGTCAACCCTATTTTCTCTCTTTGCATGTTGGTTTATCTCGTAGTTATTTTTAACAGACGATCTTCACCGTCTTCGGGAATACTGTATTTTTTCTTCCTTTAGCCTTCACGTTCTATTTTAAGTATGTAGACGATTAATGTTGCTTGAATAATATGGATGGCTCAACTTGAAAGTAAAATTATGCGTATATTTGATTGGATCAGAACATTTTGTTTCATATTTTAATTAAGAAACGTGATTGATTCAACAACTAAAAAAAGTGAACAATGTAAAATATCCGATATCCGATCTAAAAATCGAGTGAGAGGAAATGCACAGGGCCTTTCGTTTATTTGGCAGGCTGCTCCAATAGAGGGAGACATGTATCCCACAGAAATCTTTCTGCTCTTTTATTTTTCGACCACGCTTATCTCGCACGAAATGAACTGTCCATTATATGTCAATGGAGTAATCATATGAAAATGATTTGTCGATGGTACCATCTTCCATTTGTGCAACTTTCACTTATTTATGGGTTGTTATTTGTTAACGCAGTCATCACTGCGATATGACGCTGCTTCGTTCGTAATACAGGCCAAGTACACGCCATCCTCGTTTTTTAATTCCGTTGACGAAGGATCAAATTTATAGTCAGATGATAACATGCGACTACATAACTTATTGCATAACACAACATTATTGCATCTTCAACAACGAACATTTTAGTTCTTTACGGATGTTTAAATAGTAGTAATTTATATCTGTTTTTAATCTCAGTTAGCATTAAAAGTCGCTGATGCTATTTATAATAGAACACTTAATTAAATTTATCTTCCACAATAGTTTTTATCGACAAAATTCTTTTTTCCAAATCAGGCACGATGGATGTTTTGTTCTATGAAAGTCAGCATCATTTTTCAAATGGGATGACGTATTCTTCCAAGGAATTTAAGATCCTGCGATATATTTGCATTCAAATCTGCAGCACTACGGAGATGGAAAGATTTTCTGCAATATAATCTCGCAGAAATCTCTACTAGCTATGTAGAATTGAAATAAGAAAACGTAATTAAACAGATCTTTGTGTCCAGCGAAAAAAATAATTGACGTCAATACTCAGTGTGTAACTCTTACAAAACATGTCGAAGCATCGGTCAACCGTAAAATAAAATGCACATTTATTCAATGGTAATGTTATTCATTAAAATGATCGGTACACATATGTATAAGTATAGGTAGTACACGGGAGTCGAAAGTTGCGCAAGCGCTGCGCTCGGCTTGTGTACGCGTCGGAATTCGGGAGTGTAGAAAGTATTAGATCGAACGACCGCACTAACTTTCACGTGAGCACGCGCACGCAATTATTACACGTAGGAAGGCAAGGCACCGCGGTTCCAGTTGCATTTATTTGACATTGGATCTAAGGAAGAAAGAACATGTACAATGCAATGGTTCTCAATCTAAGGCTACGAGAAAATCAAATGTTTTAACCACAGAAATATTTTACCAATCCTTTAGTTGAAAGTGGGACGGACTGTAGAATCGGTCAAGTAGAATTTTGGATTTCGAAATTTTGTTGAGTCGCTAAATTCGAAACTTCTTTTACGGAAATAAACAATTCTTTAAATTCAGCTTCATCAGTATTTAATCAGCCTATTTAGATCTTTTCTGAGGTATTAAAAACTTGAGATGTTGTTGAGATGATGAATATTACACCAATTTAGTCAAATAATCATACGTAATTTTGAACTAGAGGTCATTTAAGTAGTACAGGCCATTTTACTTTTTTCATAATTTTGTAATAACGAACTAATGATTTCCTACGTACATATCTTCACATATACTGGACATCAAGCGTTAGCAATATTCAATTAATATACCAGTGTGTTGTAATAGTATATTGAGATAAACTCACTATTAATATTATTGCACCACTTACTGTTACTAGCAAGAAAAATACGAAACAGTCATTAGAACGGCATTATACGAACAGACTTGCCTACTGCAGTATTCAGACCATCTCATTGCGTTTCGAGACAGGTTTTGCACGGTTATCAACTCGGTTCGAAACAAACCAGCTAGGGATACGATTTAACAATCAACAAACCCGTAGGATATCTGCCGTTATTATATGGTCGAAGGGATTTCCAGTTTCAAGGCTTCTCTCTCATTCTCACTCTCTCTCTCTCTCTCTCTCTCTCTCTCTCTCTCTCTCACACACACACACACACACTCGATCTCTGTCTATCTGTCTACCTCCAACCTTTTACAAGCAGGAAACTGGTGAACGCGACCACTCCCCTCGCATCTAGGTATGTTTCCGAGCATCAAGAGAGAAACTTCCTGTTAAAACCACCCTCTTCTGCTTCTCCCTTTAACGCTTCGTCGAGCTTAATCCGTTGTCACCACGAATCAACTGGAGCGCCTCGCGGATTAACGAGTTTCTGTATTTTCTCGATCCGCAACAACACCCGTGTCGCGCATCCCCTCCTCTGCTTTCTATCGTTCTCCATGTCGTCAACCCTATTTTCTCTCTTTGCATGTTGGTTTATCTCGTAGTTATTTTTAACAGACGATCTTCACCGTCTTCGGGAATACTGTATTTTTTCTTCCTTTAGCCTTCACGTTCTATTTTAAGTATGTAGACGATTAATGTTGCTTGAATAATATGGATGGCTCAACTTGAAAGTAAAATTATGCGTATATTTGATTGGATCAGAACATTTTGTTTCATATTTTAATTAAGAAACGTGATTGATTCAACAACTAAAAAAAGTGAACAATGTAAAATATCCGATATCCGATCTAAAAATCGAGTGAGAGGAAATGCACAGGGCCTTTCGTTTATTTGGCAGGCTGCTCCAATAGAGGGAGACATGTATCCCACAGAAATCTTTCTGCTCTTTTATTTTTCGACCACGCTTATCTCGCACGAAATGAACTGTCCATTATATGTCAATGGAGTAATCATATGAAAATGATTTGTCGATGGTACCATCTTCCATTTGTGCAACTTTCACTTATTTATGGGTTGTTATTTGTTAACGCAGTCATCACTGCGATATGACGCTGCTTCGTTCGTAATACAGGCCAAGTACACGCCATCCTCGTTTTTTAATTCCGTTGACGAAGGATCAAATTTATAGTCAGATGATAACATGCGACTACATAACTTATTGCATAACACAACATTATTGCATCTTCAACAACGAACATTTTAGTTCTTTACGGATGTTTAAATAGTAGTAATTTATATCTGTTTTTAATCTCAGTTAGCATTAAAAGTCGCTGATGCTATTTATAATAGAACACTTAATTAAATTTATCTTCCACAATAGTTTTTATCGACAAAATTCTTTTTTCCAAATCAGGCACGATGGATGTTTTGTTCTATGAAAGTCAGCATCATTTTTCAAATGGGATGACGTATTCTTCCAAGGAATTTAAGATCCTGCGATATATTTGCATTCAAATCTGCAGCACTACGGAGATGGAAAGATTTTCTGCAATATAATCTCGCAGAAATCTCTACTAGCTATGTAGAATTGAAATAAGAAAACGTAATTAAACAGATCTTTGTGTCCAGCGAAAAAAATAATTGACGTCAATACTCAGTGTGTAACTCTTACAAAACATGTCGAAGCATCGGTCAACCGTAAAATAAAATGCACATTTATTCAATGGTAATGTTATTCATTAAAATGATCGGTACACATATGTATAAGTATAGGTAGTACACGGGAGTCGAAAGTTGCGCAAGCGCTGCGCTCGGCTTGTGTACGCGTCGGAATTCGGGAGTGTAGAAAGTATTAGATCGAACGACCGCACTAACTTTCACGTGAGCACGCGCACGCAATTATTACACGTAGGAAGGCAAGGCACCGCGGTTCCAGTTGCATTTATTTGACATTGGATCTAAGGAAGAAAGAACATGTACAATGCAATGGTTCTCAATCTAAGGCTACGAGAAAATCAAATGTTTTAACCACAGAAATATTTTACCAATCCTTTAGTTGAAAGTGGGACGGACTGTAGAATCGGTCAAGTAGAATTTTGGATTTCGAAATTTTGTTGAGTCGCTAAATTCGAAACTTCTTTTACGGAAATAAACAATTCTTTAAATTCAGCTTCATCAGTATTTAATCAGCCTAAAAATGTCTTTGAATCTATACAAATTTATTACCAATCACTTGTATAGTAATAAAATAAATACTGAAATTACAGTATGTATGCAATTTTTTAGATAAACACGTCAAACTGATTACAGTAACAGATAAAAGTATAGTTTCCCTATTAACAATGCTTATAAAACGGAATTGTGATAACGAATAAAGAAAGAGGAATGTAAATGGTATACTACAATGTTTAATCTAATAACGCACGAGCTCGCCAAATTTCACTGTCCACGCTCAATTAACACACAATCTCGTTTCTCTTTTCGTTACCTCCGCCACGCCGAGTTACACGGAACAAAGAAAACACCATAATTCGCACATAGAACCTGAACGGTTTTTTCTGTTCGTTCTCTTTCTATCTCTCTATCGTTCTCTTTTTTTCCTTACGGGTTTAGTCAGGAACGTAGCAATTATTTCAGTATAATTCGCTCGTTTAGCGGACGTCCTTGTCGCGGCTGACGCATGTATCAAGG